AATCTGAATCGCACTATAAATACCCGAATAACCAGAACGAAAAATACCTCACACTCTGAACGGTAGCGTATTCCGAGAATGCTCACTGCCAATTATGAGACTGACACCGCATACAAATGCAATATCTATCTCATTTAGACAGTTGCGCCGAGTGTTCGGTTTCAATTACACCGAACGATGCCGTGCAACTTAATTTCGAATAATTTCTACAATAATTGATTTCTTTACGTATCCCGATCTTACTGAAGAAATGAGATGTGTAATTATTCAAATTGATATTTACATAGCAGATCATAATACAGCAAATCAGAATCTTACGTCACAATTTTTTTAGAACGTGGTGCATTTTTAATATCGTGGATATTTCTACATATGGATTTTATGAGTTCAGGTAAATTTATTTTGCGATTATCACGGCATTGTTACTTATCAGTGCGTTTTGAAAACTGGAGTGCTGACACTCGTCGATTACGAACATGGAAAATGTATATTTTGTGTCTGAAATCTCCGTCGCATCATCTTGCAATGATCGGAGATCCACCAAAATGGAGAAGTAGCAGTTCTTCTTTAATTGATAATCCTTGAATTATCGACATCATCTTGGACATCAATTTCGCCCACGTATCGCGCATGCTGATGACGCGCGTTAGCTTTTTTTGTAGTTTGAAACGACAGTACACATCGAAATATTTTTGTGCAAAAATGTAGTTTACGTTACGTTAATTCCTTTTTAGGATTCCAATATGTTAAAAATCTATTTTCACACAGAGAATATTCTCCGATATTATTATTTTGTCGTTTCAAAATTTTTATTAAATTTTTTTTTTTTTACATTTTCACGAAGATTAATCTGAAGTAAAGAATTGAACGATTTTGAAGTGTTCTATATATTTTTAATGAAACTCTTTGAGTAAGCTTCAATCTTTATTTATAGGAAAAGTTTAATGTGTAAAAAACCAAATTTCTCCAATGTAGATGCACATTTTCTCACGCGAATACAGACTTTTCCCACTGACAAGAATACTTCTCGTCAAGGTCTGAATGTTATTCGCGTGTTTCGAGTTTTATGTATAAAAACGATAAACTTCGCCGTTGCATCGTGATATTTCGTTTACAACGTTAACGATGCAAGGAGCGCAGGTGCACGATGTGGTCGCGGTAAAAAGGAGTACGCGTTCGAGATAACGCAAATAACATTTATGAAATAATGGACGACAACTTTCCCCTGAGTTTTTATCATCTCGCCGAAATGTATGTTAACTATTGAGAGTATTGCAGATCCGAGTATTCTGCCAATGACTAGTGCCAATACACCCTGTCTACAGATTTGTAAAATACGCAAAGTAGATTACATCGATGTTCCTCTTTCTAAGAACCAGCCGCACGTTGTAGAGTATCGTCTCATTATTACTAGTCTAATTGTTATTACTCGTGGATAATGACACAACAGTCTCGAGTACTCGCGCGTGATGAAACAAGGGGATGTTATTAATGACATAATTACAAAGTAGCGAATATAATTTATCGCTTTGTTTTAGCGTTTCATCTCACTGTCGCCGGTAAAAGGATTATTTAATTATGTACTACGATCTATTAAGTAGATTTCATCGCAATACGTTAGAAATATGCGAGAAACACGTGATTCTCGGCGAATAATCAGAATCTGCGATATACAGCTTCGATTCATCTTCTCAGGTGAAAGCAGATCGGATGCAACCTTTGCTAGATTAGTTACGTTACAATAAGCGATGTTCAGATCAACGGGAAATTAATATCCGATTTGCGAGGATGAAAAGCATTGTATCGTTATGAAATATTGAATCTGCGATAAAATATAGTGCGATAAAAACTTGAGATATTAGAGGTAATTAAATATGACACGAGGAGGACGCTTGGATCGCGTTTGGGCGACGGTCGCCATTATCGCGTGATCTTGTGATGGATCACTTACAATGTGCAAATAAACTTGTTTGTTGATTGTTAGATTGCGAGTGATTCATGTTTGCTGTGCAATCTTGATAAACCTGTAAACCGTTGCAGAAAGGGATTTACAACTTAACATGTGCAATGTTGAAAACTGTCAAGTCAGAAAGCAATTGTTATTGTTTTAATAAGCGTGAATCTAGTTTATTGTGTGAACAGATGCGCATGACAGTATGGATAAAATAAAATGAAGTATCGAAGTACATTGTTGAATGAAATTTGAATATTTTTAAATAAAGAGATGAGTTTTAAGTAATTATTATTATATTTAATTAAAAATATAATAATTATATTTTTAATTATTATTATCTGAATTAATAATACTTATTATTTAAATAATATTTCTCTCTCTCTCTCTCTCTCTCTC